AAAAAAAAAAAAAAAAAATCTGTAAAATTCCTGTAAAATTCCCTACCAAATAACAATGACAAGGAAGTCGTATTGCTCAGGAACCACAATAAACATAAAACCTCAAATTTTATCTTTTCTTACACAAAAAAACTCCCACGGCGTAACTACGGGAAGAATATATGTAACAAATAAAAACAAAAATAAATGAACAGCAGGACAAACTGAACACTATCAAAGCTCTTTTTTTCTTTACTGTGGCATCGAAAAGGCAAAAAATATATAAGAAAAAATAATGATTAATGACAACACCAATGACAGTGACAATAACATTACAACAATAATAACAGTATTTATAGTATAAATAATAATAATAAGAACAATAACGACAATGATAATAATAAAAATGAAATAATAATAATAATAATAATGATAATAATAATAATAATAATAATGTCGCCATAACAGATCACAGAAAAAATTTGAAGTATTATTGTGGTTTATGAATGTACATAGCTTTTTTATCAGTACAGAGGTTCATCTTAAGTTTTTCCTTTTAGTTTTTTTTGAAGTTTTCGATAAGCATTCTTCAAAAGGCAAATATTTTCAGGAAAACGACAGAGCTTTTTTTTCTTTTTTTCTTTCAAATTTTTATCAAAGGTCTGTTGCATGCTCACTAACTGTAGAAGCCCTGAATTAGTAAAATCCCTATATTTAATATCTACAAAAACTTTCTGCAGTTAAAATCTACTCTTTAGTTTTGAGCAAAAAATTTTCATTTTTTTGTTGGTTTACGTATACTGAAGATAACATTAAAGAACCAAAAGAAAAATTAAAAATTCAAGTAATCCGTTTGATCTACAAATAAGGCCATAACAACAACAACTTTCATAGCAGAATAGAATTTCAAAGTGATTTTTGAGCTTCTTATCAAAGATGGAGCAAACACGCAGTTCCATCAAACCTTCTCGCCTGTATTAAAACAAAAAGAACGGTGAAAACAAACGTTGCAATCCGTCAGAATTTGGACGATGCCTCTACTGCCGATCCGGTCGCCATGCCGAGCAGCCCTTGATTGTGCTATACAGCTGCTCCATTCACATTTAGTCTTGTGACGATCTAATTACGCGCGAAACATTGGCTATTGATAAGGTTCAAAGACGCTAATGATAGTCGCCTCTTTGAAAGACCTTAGAACGCGTGATCGTCCCGGTGTTTTCTATCTTGTCTGGACGGTACTACGGCAGTGTCTGGTAAAGCAAAGGTGTAAAGTTGAATTGGAACCACGTTTGCGTGACTGGCTGTCAGCGACTGAGTGCGAAAGAGGCAATAGTCTTCAATCGAACTTTGTGTAAATAAGCGCAACGTTAAACTACGACAAGCTAAAGGATTCTCTTTAGTTTGTTTGCGCCATGAAGTGAAAATAGTTTTGGGTTGTGGACCTGACCTTATACTATGCAGAAGATTCTTAAATGAATCGGGTCTATACTTTGCCAACTACTTATCTGTGATTTTTGCGACACTACAGTTAAAAACCACCTATATCTTTGTCGAACAGTCTTTTTTGCTTTTGCTATGCCCACGACCCATTCTTGCCTTTTCAGACTGACATTCCCACTTGATCATTCGTCAAACCTACCCCCTTTACTCAGTTGTATTGATGATCGGCACGGTTAGCATACCGTATGAAAGAAAGTTCCTCTTTGTAAAATTTTCACTCTTTCTGTTGTCTAACAGCCACCTTAAAATTTCAAAAGTTGCGAGACTTTTGGCAGCTAATTGAAGATTTTCTGGATTCAGACGATGTGATTAGTTACAAAAAGCGTATCTACTGTTAGCGTACAAATTTCATCAACTGTACTTCTGGATTTATCAGGATTCAGAAGAACCGGTCTGTGTAATGTACAGCATTCAAGACAACTGCTTCTTTGCGAGATCAAGGGAAAATAAAATTTGGATCGAGACCTGAGAGCAGCACTGCATGAAAAATGAACATTACGCACTGAGGTCACACTTACGGGAATTAACAAAGTAACTCTATCTAGAACTTCTTTAACAGGTTTGCTGAGAGCAATGCTTTTGACGTTAAACCTGTTACCGGTACGACTTATAGTGTTATAAATATTCTGCAGAATTTAGACTTAAAAACGGTGTGACGAAAATAGGAAACTTGAGATGAACTTCGGACTAATCTGCCTGAATTTATAACAGAAATACCGTTTTCTCTGCTAAACGTGTAACGAACTATCTAAAAAAATTTATTTAAAAGTTAAAAGATGGCTGTCTGAACAAGCTCAAAATTATAATCCTGCAGTTTCTTAAGTTTCTAGGGACCTTACCTAACTAAAGCCATTCACATTATTGAAATCTCTATTACGAAGAAACTAAACCATTGAGAGCTCCCCAGTACTCAGCATATTTCAGTAAGGCTACTTGGATTTCTCTGGCGTCATGCCGTATGCCGATCAAAATTGAAGCAGGAGTTTGTTTTATAAACATTTATTCGCTAAACTCAGTATTCCAGTGATTTACTCTCCCCACTTCACCTTTCTGTCGTGAGAAGAACGCAACTTTTCTTGTTCAAACACGACACGATCAGCTTCACCAGCAGATGAAGGTTCCACGGCATTGCAGAGCCTTTAAAAATCTTAACAGCCGATCAAGATGACAAGAAAGAGTGCTGTTAGCGTAACGGTTCCCCGTGACCTTGCTTCCCCAATGCTTTACTTAAAAGTGTGAGAGCTTTAGCTGCTTAAAAACCTTTTTAAAAAGTTAATTACAAGGCAATCTGCCGCCAGACACTTGAGCAGCTGTCCGCAAAAGTCCCCATATCCCACCGTCATGGAGTTGAAAATCTTCATCAAGAAATTAATTTTATCACTTTTGGGCATTTAAAATCTACAAATGGAAAAAGTACGGACATTGTCGATTTACTCACCATAGCTACTCAAGAAAACCTTTATCTAAAATACTTAAACCAAATGGATTTTTTACCTACTGTAAAAGCATACATATTTTACAAGAACTTCGACTGGAAGTGAAAATAGTTTCCTCTTTGGACATCATTATCTGGAGATAATCCTCTTCGTTCTCAGCTACTACCAAAGAATAAACGCAAAGAATACCATTAAGGTATGCGCAAATCAAACACATTTCAAAACAAATGTTACATTTATACTAGAACAATGAAAAAAGACCTTTTAAGCTGTTTCAAATTATAAAGACAAATCTGGCAATTTAAGCGAAGTATCTCAAAAAGTACCGCAAGGTACCCGAGTTCTCACAACACCTCCTGTTACCTTCACGGCAACGAACAATATATTGCTATTCCGCGAATGATAGATATGGTGCTCTCCGACTGCTGACCTATAATAGTGGAATACTCAACATGATGATATCAAAAAAGTAGAGAAGAGATTTCCACGCAAATCCAGAAAGTTTATATAGATAATTCCTCTTCCTTTTTGGGCGTGGGCAGCAGGAATAATTTTACGCAATCTCTAAACTACCAGAAGATTATTAAATATAGATTTATTTCCATATCCGCAACTCCCATGTCCCCAAACCTTTGTATACAAGTACACAACAATGCAAGAGAAAATGCCGAGACAGTGAAACGATGTCGACAGGGCTATGGTGGTATACTATAAATGCACTAACGTCAAACTTTGTTTCAGCCACAGCCCGAAGCAGTTTCAACTTGTTGACCCTCTAGTCCTCCATCTATTTTTTTAATGAGTTGTAATAAAACTTCCGTGTTTTTAATTTCATCATCCAACATCGTCGTTGCTAACCGCATCTAAACTTTATTTGTTAACGTACACTCAATATCTTTTCTCAAGAGGACAGTATATTATCTAAAATTTGTCACCTCCACGATTTCATCCTCCAGTCGTTTGATTCTTTGCCCTATTTCTACCTCTTCATCTATCGTTTCATTGACTTCTAAATTAGGAAGGTCTTCCGGAAGCGTCAAAAAATCAGGTATCCGAAAAATGTAATGTACCACATGCTGCTGAAATGGCTTTCTAACAGTAATAAGAAAAGGTTGTTTTCACAGTGGTATGTACCGACAATTTTCAATCTGAGCAAAAGCTTTATAAAAGTAAAACCCTAATCTACCAAACAAACAGCCGAGTAAAACTGCAGATGTTAAGGAAAAAATACTTCTAGTCTGTCCATCATTCCATCCAAAAAATTGTTGCGAACTATTAATGAAGCGAATTTTTTTTTCAAGTTTGATATTTTACTGTCGTCAATATCTTCGCATTTTATTTTTGGGATGATTTCTTTTTGTACTATCGTAGTCCATGTTTCAACAATAACGTTATAAACTAGAAATAGTATCAACAGTCCAAAGTATTATTCAAGTAAGGTCAATTCTAAAAACATTTTAATAAACTTCAAAAGAAAAAAAAAATGAGAAAAAGAGGAAAAAATAGAAGACAGATTTGCTAAGTTCTAACCAGGTTTTTTTTCTTTTTGACTACTTTTCAGATTTCTTTTGATGAGTCTAATAAGAAAGTAGATAGAAGAATAACCTGTGTCAATGAAACCTTTCGGTGAAAAACCAAAGAACTGCGTTTCATACTCATATAGATCATTACCGACTTCCATATTCTGTAATAACAACGATAACAATCAGATAGTGTAAAGCAAAATTTTTACGCATGTAAACAGTCATAGAAAAAATAAAACTTTCAATGATAACTTTTAAACTAGCAACGAAGAGTCAAAAAAAAAAATTAGTTTGAATCTTTCAAATACACTTGGAAATGATTAAGATAACAATAAGAAAAGAAAATTCTGCGGAACAATTGATAAAACTGAAAGATGCATAAATTCTTAATGAATCTATAAGATCTCACATCGTTAGAGATTCAAAATTTAAAATTTACCGCCATTTTGCTGCGAAGTGCGGTGAAACTATCAGATGGCAAAATATCAGTGTTTATAATGTATATACATTCGGTTGCTGTCAGTCAGCTGGGTGATGCGTTTCTAATTTTTTAACTTTCCACAAGTTAGCAACTGTTTCTGGAAATGTAGTAAAACTGGACGGTTGGGTTTTTTAAATTCATGCCCTGTGTCACTCAGCTTTGGTGTTCTGTTTGTAGGTTTACGCTCATAGAATTACAATAGTTATGAGTTATATGCTGATAACAAGAGTTGTCGACAAAAGAACGTTACACTGTCCCATCCCAAGTATCTACTTATTCTCTAAACTTTGCTGCAAATATACAGATTATCAATTATCAAGAACAACTAACTTTTCCTACTCTTCAGATCGGTACGTAATATTATGAGGGAGAATTTTTGGTGTAACACTTAAACAACAATAACACTTTAATGATTTTCAATCACCTTAATAACACCTCTTGAAATAATGATACCGTAAAATGTAAATAATTTGGTTTCAACTTAATCGTTTCTTATATTTTCTGTATTGTAATTATCTGCTTCATTGCACGGGCACTTTATGATTGGTCTCAACTGTTTATCATTATATGTTCTGCTTTTGTTCAAAACTACATAATACTGAAAAAATAAGAGTCCTTACACCATTCTAGCGAATAGTGTAAATAATAATTCTTGTCTGTATCATGTTAAATGATGCTTCGCTTCTTAATACCCGTCCCGCAGTCTTAGGTACGGTAGAACGCTTTCAACAAACGATAAACATTATTGAACTGAAATAGTGACAAATAAAAGGCCTAAAATTAATGTTTGATAATAGAAAACAGGGATACAGAAAATAAGATTGCAGAACCAGAGTTAGACCCTCGAAGAGCCTTATAATCAGAAAGATAATTCACGTTAACAACTTCAAATAAAGTCAAGCAATCATTTTTTACCTCCTCGCCTAGTGACCAAAAATAGTGGGTGATGCTATTGCTTTTTAATAAACTTTTGCTCTTTGCTCTTTATTAATTTGCCTCGACATACTTCTTTACTTTGTTACAAGTCAGCAATTATAGTTTGCCTTTATTGCAGTAACTTCTATACAATAAGAAATATCCCTTATACACAGCAAACAGAACTGATCTGTTTGGTCCTACTGGTTGTACCGTTGTAAAGAGGCCAAGATCAAACTAGTTGTATCAATAAATATCAAAAAATCAAAAGAAATTTTGGCGGAAATACGACGGCCTTAGGGAGACATTATGAAAATGTCGAGTGGCTAAACGAGAAAATTAGGCGTGTAAAAAAAAGAGATCTAGAAACATAAGATACGAAAGCCTAATTACAATTATGAGGTACCTAAATTCTTTGGTAAACTGACTGCATAGTTCATCATATCGTCCACAGACAGGATATTGAAAGAAATTCAAACCGAAAACAAAATTTTATCTGTTAGAAGGTGACTAACTGCATCCGATGGAACATTTTTCCTGATTTTTGATGTTAAGAAGGTTGCAGAAATAAATACAATTGTAAGACTTTAACTACATATATGTAAGTATTAAGAGCGAAAAGCATCCCCGTGGTGGATTAGTTACACTTGAGCCGCAGTCCAATAGGCGTGGCACTAAAGCGCAATCGCTTCGGCACTGTATGTACAACTAGGCTTCCTCCAAAAAATTCAGGACTTTGAGGGGATTAAGAACTGAAATCAGAGTACTTGAAAAAAAGTACAATGAAATAGCCTAAATAACTAATTTATAACTATCGTCATACAGATGTGAAGAATTAACCCACAAACACCGTTATAGATTTCGTTTTCATTTGCCACGATGCTTACTGATCATACAGTTTCCTCAACTACAACCATTACATTTGTTTGAGCTCAGCACCCCGATTTCACTTTGAAAAAAGTTAAAGCTGATTGAAATATATTTATTTTGACCTTTTTGGAAGCTGTGTTCATCAGATCTCCGAGTTTGTTTAAGAAGCCCCAGTTGACGTCATATTTATCGTTTATTGAAACGGGCCCGAACAAGTCTTGATTGCCATAGCTAAGACCGCTCAATGGCGACACTTGCAGTCCGTTTCGACGTCCTAAAGGCATTCCAAGAACGTTTACAGTTCTATCCCTTCCAACTTGAACTTCGTCTCGTCGAAATGCATTCTGTCCTAACGACTCCAGCAGTGTTATCAGTGGTGACTAAGAAAAGATTTCATTTTAAACGGTGGTAGACAGTAAAGAAATCCTTTCTACTTCTATAAATCAAATTAATCAGTTTCTTTACGATTGAAAGAACAAACTTTTTTTTGTTAAATCCCTGATAAAATCATTCAGTACTTTAAAGATGCATGCAAAAAAGATGCATGGCGTATGAGCATGCAAAGAAATCCAGACTACTGGGAAACCGTGTAACCATCTTGCATTTAATAACTGAGAACTGGGGTTATCAGTATAACAGGTCGACAGAATAGTGTTTTATTGATGAGATATTTAACGGATTACAATAATGGATTGAAAGCGTGCGTGAAGGTGATATATCTCCTTAATGAAATGGAGGATCTTTTCCATGCAATTCAAAAAGCATTCCACAGTTTTAACTTGGTCTTTCGGATATTAGTGAATAAGAAACAAGTTAAAACACATTCATCGTTGAAAATGGTTCAAAAACACTGTCTCGGTTTAGCAACGGCAGCGAACAAATGTAGCGTACTGAGAGGAACTAATTAAAGCAGTGATGTTATTATTAACGGCTTTGAAATAAGCCGTAAAAATGTGCACAAGAAAGGCAAAAAAAAGAAACGAATAAGAAGAAGAACGGTAAAGCACGGAAACTTAACTAGTTATTACAGGTTTATAAGTTTTAAAAATGTACAATTTTTGTCATCCTGATAGCAAAAAGTCCCCATCTGAAGCCTTGCTTTAACGGCTACAACCAAATTACAACAATTTGAAAAAGCACATGTAACTACATTCCATTTGGGTTGCACTATTTTTTAAACTATTTTTTTTGGATATTGATACATCGAAAATTTGGCTAGTTTCCGAGTCATAAAATGACACTTTGAAAACGTCTTCTGCAAATTATTCATTAGTACTTCCGTTATTAAGACCGCTTTCATGCACAAATTTATTCTAGTATCCTATTCTTGTTACAGCTTTTTGTTTGGTCTAATTTTTCCATTGGATTATTAAAGAGTTCAAGCTCCACTTCCTAATGGCTTCCGATGGCCGAACAGTATTCCAGGTGTGTCACCAAATAGCGCTTTCATGATTTTACTCTTTTTTTGTGGGAAAAGTGGATTGAAGAATGGGTCAGGGAGTGGTGGCGGGTCTGGAAATTTTAGCTTCGTTGGGTCATGAATAGGTTTTGCTGCAGGAGTTGGAAGTATAGGGGATAAGGTGACAGCAGTAATAGCAAACAGTTTCATAAGGGGATTTGGAGTAAAAGGATTGCTTAACTGAATGGGCTTTAAATCTTCAAACGGATTTAAAAAGCTCAGATCACTTGGTGCCGGTTGCTTATTATCTTCAAAAGTTTTTTCATTGGATAAGCTATCTGAGTTAGGAATAGAAAGCGGAAGGATTTTAGGTGGTTTTAGGTGCTCCTTATTAACTTTTGGATCGAAAGCTGCTGAATTAGTTTTGACTGAAGCTGTTGGCTGATAGACTTTTTGGGAACGCCTTGAGATAGACTGAAAGCCACCTGAACGGCTCCCAAAAGGTGTGCCCCCTGTGCCACCAAGCTGCAATTTGCCAGCTGTTCTAATGCCACTGGATGTGCGAGTATCTCGTGCATCTCTAACCTCAACTTTTTTTTCGACAGTTCGCACTTCAGGAACAATTCGAGGTTGTGATCGGCGAACACTATCGCTGTTGAATGCAGGCTGCGGTGAACTTTCAGTGTCTGCTGCTTGTTGCAACTGTTCATCCGTAGCATCTGAGTTCCTTTCGGGTGCCTAAAATTAAATAGTCTTATGTGATTCGATAAGTGTTTACTGTATATAAATTTACATGGGGAAGTCAAAGCATTAAAAGTTTTAGTGTTAGTCAGCCTACCTTATTCAGTTTTTCCAGTTCTTTCCTGAGAGGTTCCAAAAACGGTTCAAGCAGTCTTTCAATCATTGGTTTTGGAGTTGTAGTAGTAGTCGAGGAAGTGGGCGTAAAAAGATCAAAAATTGATTTTGGTGAGCTGATCAGATCTTC